ATCCAAGCTATTGCCTTCAATGCATAGCTCCTTTTCCAACCGCCCTTCACTTGGCAGCCCATTGACAGTGCTGGATTTGTGCACCAATTTATCAGCTTCCACGTGCAATGCGCAGCTACCTACCACTCCCCCCTCCCCCCAAATCATCGGTGAACGGAACTGCGGCAACTCCAACCACTGTACGACGAGTGGTTGGTTATTACAGCTGACAATCATGATGATGATGAGGTCTGATATCCAGTGCTTGAGTGCGCCTGGTGGTGCCGTGCCACAGAATTTCCAGCAGCCTGGTGGTGCCGTGCCACAGGCAAAATTTCCAGCACCATACAAAGAGATGACAGTCATATCCCAGTATGAGTTTACAGCTTAGGAACAGATTCTAGAAAATGATTCTGGCAAAGTCGTTTAACATCCAGGTCTGCCAGTCTCTCAGCTGCCAAGTGCTTTGTCCGCATCTTACGCAGCCCACGGAAACCTAGAGGGAAGCGACTCCGGACGAGTGCGTGGTCGGAATAAACAAATCTGTTCCAAAACGACTGGCAGTCAGTTATTGATCCACGCCATCGGTAGCTGATGGCAATGTGGTAGATTTGAGTTTGTGGCCTGCCGTTGGAGGGCACCATGTCGCCAGACGACTACGGCTATTTCAGAAGTTCGTACTGCATAAAAACAGCACACACTTGAAGCAATCTTTCACCATTGTCCGTACGTACCGAGTCCAATCCATGTTGACCTCCTGAGTCTCAGATACACCAAGCCTACCCACTTGTGCATTGATATCTCCAGCAACCACCACGATGTCTGAGCTTTTAGCTCGCCGCAACAGGGCATTCAGTGTCATAAACTAGTCTGACGGCATCGGAGCTACAGTCGATTGGGGCGTAGGCAAACACGATGAACAGACATCTATCAACTTCTCCCTTGGGAGACTCCTTTACAGACGTTGCCAGACGAACCGCACAAAGGAGACTATCAACAGGTATCCAGTCAAGTAAGGATACTGTGTTTGCATCTTGAATTCTCGTTTCTGAGACACAGCACATGTCAATGCCAAACGGGTCCAGTGTAAGAGCAAGAGCAGCTTATCGTCCTGCTTGTTTCAGAGTGCGCACATTGAACGCGGTCAGATAGACAGGGTGTCGAGGCTTGAAGATTGATTTGAAGGTGCCATGTAACGAGCTGACCTCGTACGCAAAGCCGATGCAAGACGAACGGAGTCATCAGTCTTAGGTGCTGGGTCTACAACAGGAGGGTTATTAATTGGATGGGGAGAGGGGGAAGAAAAAGTATGTGAAAGAGAAAGAAGGGGGCGTCAGCAGTAGCCTGTTTTCGCTTACCCGCCATGCTGTATGCAGCAAGTAAGGCGACCCGGCTGAAGGCACCACGCGACGGCCGATGTGGCATGAGTTTATTTGTATGTGCGTAGTTCATGGTTGTACGTGGACTAGGATACTGTCAGGGCGCCCACACCTAGACAGGAGGACGATTAGGGTCCTCAACTATAGCCTTTGGCTCAAAAGCCTAACCGCAAGACAGCGATGTTTAGCGGGAAATGCAAATGCATTACCATTTCTAAAGAACGAGTCACCATCTATTCCAACTCTCAACCTGGAGGACCAGGAGACTGTATTCGTCGGACCTCTAGCCATTGACCAATCTCGTATGAGAGACCGAGTGTGTCGCGGGGACACCCCCCCCCAGTATAGCCCAATGGGTCGATGAGGTGCACACCACGATAAGGTCCAGTCTCTTCGTGACGGAGGAAATGATAGGGACTGCAGACTAAGGTACACACCGCGCTTGCGTGAGTCTAGTCCACCTAGCGCCAGTGGACAGGCCTCTTAAAAGGTTACTTCTCTGATGAAGCACTTGTGCAATCCGATAATGTTCGTAGAAAACTGTTCCCTTTGTGGAACTATTTCAAACTAAATGAGCCATGAAGTCGACCACACCGAGAAAAAGTATTCAGCATCATAATAGGCTTTTTGCAGGGTAAAAAAAATAAATCGCACAGCTGTAACACTTTCGGTGCCCAGCTGCCATGCTACCCAAAGGAAGCACGAGGGCTGAGATACTGCCAGGTCACCCAAACCCAGACAGGGAAAGTTGAGATGCAGAGGTCGGGTTAGAACCACTGACCTTCTGGTCAGTATATCTGCGCTCAAATCATTTCTGCAAGGTAACGTGACAAGGTAAAATAGAGGGATATTGCAAGTGAGCACATGTTGGGCGGAAACATTTACTGGATGCGATTCTGCATCCGCGCTTTTTTAACTAAGCGAGAGTGATAACTTGTACCGCAAAAATTGAAAGGCAGTTGAGCCAAAGGCTTTCGTCCGGAACCCTAATAGTCATCCTCTCTAGGTGTGGGTGTCCTGGAAGTACATCAGCCCACGTATAATCACGAACTGCACACACAAATAATCTAACGCCAAATTGGCCTTCGCGTGGTGTCACCAGCCGGGTCGGCCAGCTGTAACACCCTTTCGGTGCCTAACTGCTGTGCCACCCGAAGGAAGCACAAGGGCTGCGATACTGCCAGGTTGCCCAAGCCCAGACAGGGAAAGTTGAGGCTGAGGGTGGGTTCGAACCACGGACCTTCCGGTCTGTAAATCCGCGCACTAATCGCTGAGCCATTTCGCCCCTACTTACTTAGTTAAACGTCTTACTTGACCGGTAAACTAAGACAGGCTGCTGTTGACGCCTCCTTTCTCCTTCACATACATTTTCTCCCCCCTCCCACTCCCCAACTCATTGATAACTCGCTACTTGAAGGCCCATCAGCTAGGACTGATGATTACTTGTGTCCTACAAGCAACATCTGAGCGTCATCCAACAACATTGGGCATCTCGAGATCAATCTCCGGGCTTCGACACCCATTGAAGAATGTGTCCAGCACCAGAGGCTGTGTTGGTTGGAACATGTGTTACGTATGCCGAACCATCGTTTGCCGAAGAGAGTACTGTTTTCCATGCCCAATTCAGAGTGGCGTAAACAGAGAGGTGGCCAACCCATG